TCCAGCCTCGGTGCCGGTACCAACGGGGGCGAACGCTGCCGGCTGCGAGAGCTCGTCGTTCACCGCCCAGCGGGAAGGTTGGCCTGGCCCTGGGGAATATTCCAGCCTGAACATCGCCCTGCAGGGAAGCAGAAATGAGATGTGTTACATAAATTACCCCTTCTAGACAAGGTCATTCTTTATGGGGGGGGGGAAGCCAAAACAAAGCCCTTTTGTCTGCGTAGCTTTTTTTTTTTTTCCCGTTTCCATCATAATAGTTGACGGCCGAGTTAAACACGGGGAAACAAAGACCAAATGTACCTAAATTTGCAATGTCATGCATGTTCTCAGCGCTGACCCTAATGTGTGGCTTAGAGACATAAACAAAAGCCTGTATCGCAAAGAAACGCTTCAGCTAATGGATCAATCCACAACATTTCACTGAAAATTTAGTATCGAGGAAGTTCTGGGGGCGAGAGTACATAAATCGACTTTCTGAATGGCTTTAATGGACTTCCTCACTCATGTTGTCCCAATTTAAGAGTCCTCTCTGATTTCAGAGATGAGCAGATCCTGTAAAACTCGATCTGAAGTAGCCAAGGCCATGCTTGGAAGTAGTCAACTGGAAACTGATACTCTGTTGTTCCGTAGCGCCTGGGGCTAAAAATCTTGAGGATGGCTTAAAAAAAATAGGTGAAAGTCTGATGCCAAACCAAGCTCTTTGTTCTCCACCCTGAAAAGCTTTTGTTTTGCTTAACGTAAGAATTCAGACATCAGCAGCCTGGAAAGGAGGAAGGTGAAGGGCAAAGCTGGGCTTTGCAGCACAGCGTATCTAATATATCGCTCGCTATGTCGCTTTTCTCAAATCCTGACTAGGATTCTCTTCCCGCCTCCCACCGACCTGCCCTTCAGTGGTAGCAAGCCATTAGATCGATTGGAGTCCTGCCATTTAATTTCATCTTAAATAAAAAGGGAATGAGAAAAACAACCCTTTGGGACCCTCTGTTATAGTAAGAACTGGGCTAATACCTGCAGCTCGCTGCTTAAACTGGTTTTGTGCGGTTTAAGCAAATACTTTTATTTTCTGAATGTGCTTTTCTAATTTGTAGCTGTAGGAGTGATGAATGAATGCAAACTCTACTCCTTTTTTGTTAAAATGTCAAGAACATTTCCCTTGTTGAGGACTTTATAACATTGGAACGTACAGCATTTTTGAAACTAACAGTTTAATCTATTATTAAAGAATCTTTTAGGCTTGAATATCAACTACAGTCTTTATTTGTTATTTAAGACCGTTTCCTTAGCTCATGGCGAACACTGTCATCCTCAGTTGTTTTTTTTTCTCACCAGCTTTGTTGCAGAACAGGAGGAAGCCATGGTGTGCATTCCTTGTATTGTCATTCCCATTCTCCTCTGGGTCTACAAGAAATTCCTTGAACCGTACATCTATCCCGTTATCGCACCTTTCATCAAGCGTGTATGGCCCAAGAAAGCTGTGGAAGAAACAACGGCCACAAAACAAGGTCAAGGAGGCAGCGCTGGAAATCCACGGGCACCTTCAGCCATGAAAAGAGATCAGGAGGATGAGTCTGGAATTTATAAAGTAAGATTAATGCATTTAGCTAACCAGGGAAATGCCAGATAAAACACCCAGCGATAGTTCAGGGTGGGCACCACAAAAGAGTAAATAGTCGGGTGTTTTTATAGAAGCTTTTGTGGCTATTTTCTTATGAAAGGGAAGTGACCGGTACTGAGCCAGCTTGAAATACCAGGTACTCTCAGACAGCTTCTGGTAGGTCTTGGAAGGACAGGAATTGCACCCGTTTTCTGGAACAGCTTAGTTAATTTTATTTTTTTAATGAGTGGCTATTCTGTCTGAGAAGGAAGAAGTCAAATAATTGGTACATCGCACCAGATGCATGAAGTAGAATTAAAAAAACAAAACCAGAACCGCTCTTTGGCTAGCTCTGCCACTCATAATGGGGAAAAACATTTAGCGTGTGTAAATCATGTGTTTGTTATTTATCTCTTCTAAGAAAACTCAAAGATTTGTGTATGTTATCTCTGCCCTCGCTCCTCCCCCTGCTCCCTCGAAGCACAAATTATGTGTAATTCTAAAGAGACAGCATCGCTTTAGTTCATGCTGCAGATTTCTTCATAGATCTTCACTGGCTTTGCTTATAAAAGTAATTTTCGTCACCGACTGTTACCGTTCGGGGTGTGGGGTCCTTTTCTGACATCCCGTTAATAACGCTGTCTTCTGTTTGCAGTTTGAAAGCAATGGCATTACAAATGGAATCGCTGCAAAGAGATCCACAGAAGTTTCTGACAAGAAAATGGATTAAAGGAATTCATTCCTGAGGATTTTGTTCCCTTGTGTCCAATATGAACTGGTGATAGTTCTCTCACTTCGGGACTTTTTTTTCTTTGCACATTTTAGCTGAATAAAAACCCTTATCACTTACAGGAGAGGATCTCTTTTGCCACTAAAATGGCAGCTAGCACGTTTCTTAAGTTAAAATGCTTGAAAACGGAAGTTCTTTATCTTCCTCACTGGAACTACTTTTCATCTATCATCTACTTGGTGTGATTAGAGTTTAGGTTAAATAACTTATGACTAAATCTAGCTTTGGAAGGTAAATGTATCTCAGCATCTTAGTTTCACTAACGGCTAGTGCGATACTTCAGGCTTTCACCTTAAAAGCTATAGCTCTTCTTGACCTTGCTAAAGAACTATGAATGGCATTGTGGCAACATAAGCGTCACGGTTAAATTATGAAGAATATAGATTTTTTTTCTTTTTTCATGTCAGATCTGTGGATGAGCTAAAGGAGTTACGCTATATGCAAAATTTACTTAGCTTACTAAAACCACAAAGTCTTGATTTGATACTTCCATTAATTTATTTTCCTGAAGTTGTGCCTTTCTTTCCTGAAGAGGAGCAGCAGGGGCATGATGCAAGAGAATTGTTGCTTTATGTTCTGTTGCAGTGGTTTAAAATGGTGCCGTTCTGTCTTTAAAATAAAATAAAAAAAAAAGAAACAAAAAACCAACTAAAATCTCTTTAACGTGCTTGTGTAATTTGAATTATAATAAACCAGGATTTTATTTAAAAATAAGTTGCTTCGTACAATTGTTCTTAGGCTTCTGAGCTACAAAATTTTTAGAGTGGTAACAAAATCTTTGAAAACCTGTAGAGAGGCCCCAGGCAGAAAGAGGTCATAAAACTCCTGACTTCATGATAAAGAAAGTGAACTCGGAAAGTCTGGCGTTGCCTCCTCCTGGGCAGGTGCATTCTGGTACTGACTTGCACCCCAACACCACAGCGCAGTTGTGAAGCGTTTTAGACGCCGCTGTGCTTTGTAGGGAATAGAAGTGATAATTCCTGCTTTGACTGCTCTGCCAAAGCAGAAAAAAATCAAAACAAAACCATTCCAGCCGTTTTGGATTGCTTTTTAGGATTTACCATTGTTCCAAAAGTCCTGTCTTTTTATATATGCACTCCTTGAACCGTCATCGAGGTCCAGTCTTGTTCTTGCGACTGTTTTCTCCTAGCAGATAATTCGCTATTCCAAAGACTTGCTTGGTGTCCGTCAAACGCCTCGGGCGCGTTGTTTCCTACCGCTACCCGGGTTTGTCAGGCCTTGCGTCAATCCAGCTGCAATGTTCACAGCGGGATGTCGCGCCCTTGTTGCTCCAACCATTACTTCTGTAATGAGTTGAATCACAGAGAACTCCTTGTAAGATGTTGCCTAATGCTGTTTGCTCTCCCTTAGTGAGCTCGTCTCTTAGGAAGTGAATTTGGGATTGCTGTTTAATCAGCTTCTGCATCAGCCTTGGAAGATAAGCCCCCATCTGGTCAGCGTTATTACAGATACAGCTTTCTCCTAGACCGGTGAAGTACCTACCCTTTGTGATATTTATTTATTACTCTGAGCACGCATGCATGGTATAATTTGTACAATAAAAGATAACGATACTAACTGCGCGCTCCTGTAACTTCTCACAGGTGTTGTGTGGATCGTGTAGTAGACAAGACGGGGATTGGAAAGCGGAAGCGAGGAAAGAGGCCGCGCTAGTTTCCGATCGGTTTTGTCCTCTGTATCTCTGGATATTTCGCCCGTATTATTGCAACGAATCATACCCCATCCATCAGAACTTCACCCGGTAGAAGGTGGATGTAATTTTTGCTGTGGTGGATTGGGTTTGCTAACGCAATCAACCCTCACCTCACCCCAAACAATAAATTCCTCTGCTACCACTAGCGTCAAAGTTCATGCTCTAAATCTGAAAGCTGGGAACTTCTAAGGGTCTGAAATCACCTTGCAATGAGAAAGGAGTTAACTGCCTGAGAAAGTCACTCCAGAATTGAGGTCATGCGTGGTGTCTTTCCAATGGCTATAGAAATGAGGAGTCGTTGGTGGGTGTGCAGCTGAACACGAGTACGTGTCCCTACATTGTCAGCATTGCTGAAAGGTTTGTCCCTTCCGCCGTGCTCCCCGTCCCCGGGCAGGTAACCTTAGCCACTGTTTTAAAACGTCGGGCATCTCAGAAACAGGCCAAAGTTTTGGAGTAATATATTCACCTCTAACAGCCATGAACACGACAAAAAGTAGAGCAAGAGCTGTACTGGGGCTTCTTTAATTTGTAAATGTATGCAGGCTATTTATAAAGTGTACAGAATTGATTATTTTGAGTTCTTTAGGATATTATTATACAAGGACACGCATCAGACAGCAACATGGACAATAAACTGTATAATAAATTAAACTGCGGGCTGAACTGGGCTTCTAGCTGTGTGTCAGTATCGGATTTAAACGCCAGGCCTACTGAAAAGACTGCAGAAAGCAAAACGGGCAGACAGTGCAAGTATCTGTTCTTGGTTGTAAAATGACCCCGTTTGTGCTTTCTGGAACAGTGTTTCAGTACTTTTATTAGCTGCAGTTAAACACTAACGTGACTCATCTTCATCACAAAACTTTCCTGAATGAGGCACTTCACTGGAAGTCCTGGCAGGAGACTTGTGTTGCAAAATTTTCTAAGAACAGGTCAGTAATCCTATTGTGTTATGAATGGTTAAGCAAAAAATAAGTCAAAAAACAGGTGAAAGAATTGATCTGCCTGGGCAGGGGTGCAGGAGATCACCTGCTGGGATGCAGAGAAGTGCAGAAAGCCTTGTTTAAGAAAAATAAGTTAGACAGAAATTGAGGAAACCCCCATGAGAGAACGATACAAATCAAGGACATTTAATTTAACTGAAAAAATTTCCTTATGTTTGTTAATCTGATAAAAGCAAGATTTACAAAAGGGCTTAGGCACCTAATGTTGGCAGGTGGACATCTACCAGAATTTACTAGAGCAAGTAGCAGCTTCATTTATACCGAAGACTTTTAGAAAATTGCAGAGTAGGTATCTTTAGGGACCAAAGTACTTCTGCAAATCTAGTCCTAAGGTCTTCAGCATTAAAGCTGTCTGGCTTTATATTTAAATACTATTGAGGAAGAATCAAGAATTCAACCGATATTTGAAAATATTTGAAAAAAATACTCAAATCAACAAATTTAAAATATTTTTTCTTTATGGGAAGGTCTAAATGTGACATGGTACCTTCCACGTGTTGGTTTGCACAGGTAGCTGGGTGTCCAGGACTTAAACTTAATTGAAATACACCTTTAAAATGCTACAAGTACGTGCGAAAAATTCTTAAATAAAAGTTCAGAAGGTTTTATGTTGCCAATTATTTCGATGGGCCTGATTCGCAAGCAAAGGAAATTCTGGCAGGTTAAATGGAACACGATCAGCCTCTACAGATGTCTAAACTAGCAATGAATTCTGTGCAAAAATGATCTTTATTCAGATGTGTTCATAGAACACCGTTAAATTCTATCCACAAAGCTCATCTAATGACAGTAATACAATATGCTGTTACTACCCAAATGTAGCAATTGCGCTCCGGCCTTCTGGGAGTTGTTGGGCATGCTGCTAAGGCTCAGTCCTTGGAGTCATTCCTTCTTGATTTCTGTAAAATGCAGAACATCACTGCTGAAAGAACAGTCTTCTCAGAGGCTGCAGGTAAAGGAAATTGAGAGAAATTTAATGTACACCTAGATTAACTAAATCTGCCTTCAATGAGAACTAATTCTGTTTCATTAAACTGCCTTGTAGAGGAAAGAAGGGATTATCTTCCTTGTGCAGTTTTGTGATTGTTAGAACACGCTCGATGAGCCAAATCGTATTTCGGGTTTCGCAGACTGTCATTATTCTTGCTTTTCAGTGAACCTGACTGCAGCAGTTTAACTGAAATGGTCTAGAAGCCCGTGTTTGCCACAGTGATTCTCTTGCTTGAGAAGTGCTTTTAGATCACAGTGCTGTATCTTTGTTTCATTGTGGTATTTGAAACATGAATTATTTGAAATGTTGTGAATAGATGTATTCGTGTGTAGATAGATGCAGCAATACCTGTATTTTGCATGAGGATTGTTTTTCAATTCCTTTTTTGTGTATGCAGTCCCACCTCTTTTATAGCCACTCTGTTGACCGTGCATCATTTTTATTGCTGTAGCAGTCCGATCAAATCTGTATGAACACGAGGCCAAACCCTACACCAAGATGTTTGCCGTTACGTGGCGATGCGTATGAAGTGGTTAGACCTCACCTTTGCACTCGTGCTGTTTGCATGCGCCATATTTGCTCGCGCAGCCCATTTACGGGTACGTGTGAGAGACGGGCTGCATATTTAGTGTCGTGCACTGCGGTAATGAGATTATGCTCAGGACTAATTGTATTGAGAAGGGCTTCCCTTTTGAAGGAACCATCGGGTACTTATGGAAACTGCTACCAATGGCACAAAACCCACCTCAGATATGGAGATGGGAGGTTACCTGAGGTAGAATCATAGAATGGTTTAGGTTGGAAAAGACCTTTAAGATCATCCAGTCCAACCATTAACCTAACACTACCAAGTCCACCACTAAACCAATTAAGGGGAGAGTAGCAATTTCATGTTTCCTGGCTTGGTGGCTGGATTATTTTTAATGAAAGTAAAACCTAGGAATCACTAAGGTTGGAAAGGATCTCTAAGATCATCAGTGCAACCATCAACCCAACACCCCCATGCCCACTAAACCATGTCCCCAAGTGCCACCTCTGCCCGTTTTTTGAACCCCTCCAGGGATGGGGACTCCCCCACCTCTCTGGGCAGCCTGTTCCAATGCTTGACCACCCTTTCCGTAAAGAAATTTTTCCTAATATCCAACCTAAACCTCCCCTAACGCAACTTGAGGCCATCTCCTCTTGTCCTACCTGGTTTACCCTGGTTTATTATTTATTACTTATTACAATATCCAGAAATTCCGTCTGGGAATGGGAATGGCATCCCATCCCTCAGGCGTGTCAACCGCACCACTC